CAACGACGACGGTGACGATGACTCATCCGAGGGAGGAGCGCGCGCAGCAGGAGGCGCAACAGGAAGAAGCGGAAGCGGCGGAAACGAAGCACCACCAGCCCCACCTGAGCCGGAGAGTGACGACGACGACATGCAGGAGGTTGTCCCGCAGCATCGCCACGACAGCACCGTCACTGGAATGCCACTCCTCGAACTATACACCGCCACCTCAACGGCACCGCGCATCATTGAGCCGAAGAACTCGCGCCAAGCTCTCACGGGACCCCATAGCAAGGAGTGGCGCGAGGCAATGGACGCAGAAATCCGGGCACTCGAGTCACGCAACACCTGGGTGCTCGTCGATCGCGCAGCAATCAAGGGAAGGAGCATTCACTTCGGCAAATGGGTTTTTCGTGTGAAAACCGCATCTGACGGCACGATTGAACGATTCAAGGCGCGGTGGGTCGTGCGTGGCTACAATCAGAGGAACGGGATTGACTTCGATCAAACATTCGCGCCGGTGAGCCGTCACACCTCCGTCAGAATTCTCCTCGCCATCGCCGCAGCACGACACCTTCCGCTCCGACAAATTGATGTGAAGAACGCGTTCCTATAAGCGTTAGTGGATGCAGTGATCTTCGTGGAGCAGCCGCACACATACGGCGACAGGGATTCACGCGTCTGCCAGCTGCTAAAATCCCTTTATGGGATCAAACAGGCGCCGAAGCTCTGGCAGCAGTATCTACACAATATCCTGCTTGAAATTTGGGTTCAAGCAGCCGCCGCACGATCCAGAGATGTATCGCCGCGATTTTTGCGACGGATACATCCTACTCACAGTCTACGTCGAAGACCTCCTCTATACGAGCTCAAGTAACGAGTTACTTGAGCAGTTCGAGAAGAATCTCGCGGGGCACGTTGACATTACCTGCAACCACGACGTGAAGCAGTTCTTCGGGCTCAACATCTCCTACTCGCCGAAAGCTATCCACCTCTCAGCAGCCAAGTACGCAGAGGAACTTCAATATTGCACTTGCACCACTCTCCACACCTTACCACACTCTAGGACCCAACCACAAACCTGACAACAAAGCCCTATCCCCCACTAGGCTGCAGACTTACAAGCAGCAGTTGGGGTGCTTGCTTTTCGCCTCCGTCACCTGCAGGCCAGATCTCTCCTACATCGCAAGTCAGCTGGCCCAGTACTCCCGCAAACCAACGACTGAAACCCTGCTAGAACTTCAGCGGGCACTCCAATTTTTCATCTCCACGCCCAACGTTGGGCTCTATTATTCCACCATCCCAACCGCATCCTTCAACCTCATCGACTACGTGGACGCTGATCATGCCGCAGATCTCGACAATCGACGGTCCAGTACGGGCTTCCTCTTCTGCCTCGAGCCCAGCGGCCCCATCTCCTGGAAAGGTTGCCCTGTCATCAGCAAAGGTTGAATCCATTGCAGAAACAACAGCCGTTCGCGAAGGCCTCTACCTTCAGGAGCTGCTGCAGGAGGCGAAAATCCCGGTTTCGTCAATCTTTCGCCTGCACTGCGATAACCAGAGCGCAATTAGGATCGCGAATAAACCAGGCTTCGTCAACCGCACCAAGCACATCGCGCTACGGTACTTCTTTGTCAAGGACGAAGTTGACAAGGGCAAGGTCGACCTGACCTATTGTCCGATGGGTGACATGGCAGCTGACTTTCTCACAAAGAAACTGTCGCGTCAGCAGTATCAGCATTGCTCCGAACTCAACGGAGTATTAAAGCGGATCAAGACCTGCTACGGCCAGGATTGAAGGGGGGTGTTACGAATAGTAATTATTGAAACATTACTGTGCACTCCTCACCACAGCAAGCGAAGCACGCACTACCAAGGATGAAGACGAAAGGGCGGTAGTAACATCTCGATATGAATGATTTGTTTTGTGCAAAAATATAAAAAGCTCTGCAACCCTAAGATGATTTCGTCGCCTCTTACTTTCACTTCTACTGGAATCAATCCCGAGACCTTTGAATTTAACGGAGACTTCGAGACCGTTGCACTACGTCAACTGATATATGACGTTATTATATACATTCAATATGTTGTCGCGTGAAGTCAAGCCTTCTTAGGGTTTCTGTTTCTCTTTCTCGCTGGTGTCCTCCCGTTGTTCCCTCTTCTGCTTCAACTACCGCTCCTGCTAACTACCCTACCTCCAACACAACCTCCTCTATTTTAACTACTAAGGTGAGCTTAGAATACTATTAACCTGTCCCTCTCGATCTACGATCGCTTCTTTGTTATTCCCTCTCCTCGTTTTTCTTGTCAAATCAATCGATCTGGTATTCTTCCTTGTACTTCTCCTCCCTTTCCGTCTACGGTACGGTCCTCTTCTTGTGATCCTAAGTGTTCTTGATGTCGTCGTTTTTCCTACGTTCCTTATTGGTTTCGCTTCCTTCGTCTTTCCTCTCCCTTGCGTCGTTTTCTTTCATGTCTGATTTTTTCTCCTCGTTATTCTTTTGATGATTTCGTAGTTTTTTTCTCTGCTCCTTTCTTCCTTAGTTGACTTGCATTTTTTACTTCCCTTTTCATTCGTCGCCTCTCTTAAAGTCAATCGTATGTTCTTCTTTCTTCCTTCCTCGTCTTATCTTTCGTTCCTTCATTCTTCTTGTTACTCGAAATACTATTGAGGATTACAATTGCTGTCTTTTTATGGAGTGTTTCTTTTCTCTTTCACCCTATGCTCGTATCTTTTCTCTCCTTCATAGCATCATTCTTTAAAAGTGTCATTTTCTGTTTTGGATTCAATAGTGCATTTTTCTTACCTTCCCGTCATAAGCTTCTTATGTATATCTCTCTGGGCTTCTTTTCCGTCTTATCCATTCATTTCCTTGCACTTCTTTAGTTTCCTTCCATTTGTATCTCTGTTTTCGACTCGCCGTGGAATTTTGCTTTCTTTTCCATATTCAGTCTTTCTTCTTTGTGTTCCTTTCTGTTTTTATTTTCCTTCATTCCTCCACCAATTCGCTTTCATCAATCTTTTCGTTGCTTCCTCTTTCATTATGCTAGTTGTTTGTGTCTTCATGTATCTCTTGGTGATTCATTTCCATTCCTTCTCTGTTTCCCCCTCTTAATGCTTTTGTTTTACTGTCATGCTTCCTTTTTATCCCCCAATTTCTCCTTTCTTTGTTCTGATTGTTTTATTTGTTACCCAACCTTCCATTTCAATGTATTTTTTGTTGTTTCGTGACCGCAGATATTGAGTCATAGGAGGGTGGGAGGATTTCGTACAACTCAGTACCAATCCTTAATCCTAGAACCAGTTTATTTTTTTGCCTTAAATGTTCCGTTAATGTTCATACATTGTTGCTTTTCATTGTGTTTAGTAATGCATGCCTGCATGTTTCAAAGAGTGAGCTTGGTGATCATCGTCACAAAAGGTTCAGTGGTGTACCACCATGAGGTGAAGCCATTTTGAGCTGGACTTGATTGGTGGAGATCGTTCTTTGGGATATGCAGATTGTATTGCTTTATGTCATTGTCATTGAACGTTTATACTGTCTGTTTCCCCCCCCCCTGCTAGGCTGGGGAAGCGATAGTATAAATTTTGCTTATTTAGAAAGCTTGCTTTCTTATACTGATCATTTGGCATCGTTCTCATTTCAACTGGCAAATTACAACATGCACCTCGAGCTAGACAATATAGATGCTAGTACATGAACTGATACTACCTACCATAGCATTGTACTAGCTATCCCGCATTATGCGTGCGTACTACCAATCATAGGACTAACTGTCTGTCCTCCTGTTCCAGCGGCGTCACGGATGTCCTCGGTGGCGGGGTGGGGGGTGGGAGAGTTGCATGAGCTGTTGGAAAATGAGAGACGTGGGTGGAGGGAAATGAGCTCCAACCCACGATTTGTAGTTGGAGAAGGGCGTTTAGCGCGCTTCGACGATGGCAAATCTGCGTTACAGGCAGCTGCGCTTTCGAAATACGTAATTTTATAAAACACTTCGTGTGTCTAAAAATTATCATTTTTAGTTGTCGCATAAATTCAAATTTATACCACGAAATGTATTTGTCGATTTGTTCGAGAAATACGTTGTCTCGTTGTCCGTTCACCAGAGAACGGAAATTTCCACTGAAATTTCCACCTCATAAAACATAAAATACAATTACCGTATTGCTCGTATAACATACGGTAATGGTCATTTTATTGAAGTACAGGTGATCCAAATATGTAATTTATACCGTGGTAACAGACCAGGTGTTTTAACAAGTGCAGCTTCGATTTTTGGTTTTTGTGTTTCCTCTTCTACTTTTGAAGGGGCAAAAACAAAACTACCCGGAAAAAAAAAGTAGCTCTAGTCGATCGCAATAGGTTGCTGCTCCGCAACCCAAAAAAAAAAAACACACGTCTAAAAGTATTTAAAGAACAAACGTTGAAATTCATTATTTCAAATAGCGCATGCCTTCGTAGTGGAGAAACGACTTGAATCTCGATAGTGATGGCAGATCTGCCTGTGGTAGAGCTGAGGATTTGCCAATGAGAATCCCAATCTGAATCCATTTGATCGAAAATCTGAATCGATTTAGATGAACAGCAAAAAATGAGTCTGATTTTCAGACCATCAGACCAATTTGGTCTGATGTCGACGTCCCTGGTGTGGATGGATGGACTGTGGGCAGGGTAGCTGCATAGATAAATACCCTGCTGTATGGAGGCATAATCCATTCCATTGTCCTGAATCCTTTCAGCTGCAAGGTTTCTCTTGCTATTCTATCATGTATCAAGGCTTCCGCTACGCCGGCACTATGCCTCTCTAGCAAAAGCCTCCACTCCACACCACCCTCGCTCCCTGCCCCTCACCCTCGTGCCCTGCTGCCAGCATCAGCACATGCCAATGGAAGACACATTTGCCTTAGATTCGACACTATCATATACGGGGCGATGACAGGTACAACTGAAGTACCAGTGGTACATATGTTAGGGTGTATAAGCCTATAAGAGCTATAAGCCAACAATACCCGGATTTCCTTATCCTACACCTGGAGAGGTGCCGTTTGACTGCCACAGAAGCTTGTCTGTCTGTGAGACCCATCTATGGGGGAGGGTCTTGTTAAATTGACTCCTGTGTTGCGTAATGTCCTGCTCAAAGCCGCGGCTTCCTCCACATGTGATGGATCCAGCCAGGAACACGTGGGCATGCGCGCACAGCAGCTTGTCCAATATGGCAACAATGCCTGCTTGTACGGAAGGGAGCGCATGGGAGAGCATAGAAAGGCAGGCGGCATAGAGGGTGGAAGGGAGAGTAGATGGCAAGAGAGGAAGAAGAGGTGCGTGAGGGTTGAGATGGCATGGCACAGCGAGGGAAATCTCAGGCAGTCAAATGTTGCAGCCCAGGCAGCCACTCAAGCAGCCAGCCAGCCACCCAAGCAGCCACCCTAGAACCCACCCACCAGACCAAAGTGCACAGACCGGGGTCGTAGCGGTTGACAGAGGGCATGAGCTCGTCCACCATCACTGTGCCCGCCACCTGCTCCCTCAGCCACCGCAGCTTCTCCCGCGGGGCCTGCAGCGCCCTCTCTTTCTCCGCCCCTTGGAACTTCCACGTGGTCTCGTTCCACGAGTCCGACCGCACCACGCTGCCTGCCTTGCCGTCAAACGGCACGTCGGCGGCGATGAAGACGGCGGAGATGTTGTGGCGGCGCTTCATGCCGTTGATCAGGTCGCGCGCCGCCTCCATGCACCCCGCCATCAGCCCCTCCAGCACGCCTGCCTCCATCTTGAAGCCTCTTACCACTAGCTTGTGCGCCTGCAGGGTGGGCGAGATGGGATTAGGGCAGCAGCGAGATGCGGACCTAGATGACTTGTGAGTCACTTCGGGTCTGCTCAGAAGCACCGTGGCATGTTAGAAACTTTCACGAGGTGGAAAGCGATGGACTCACCAGGTTGAAGGCAATGAACTCGGAGCGGTAGTGCACCGCAATGTACCGGGGGGGCAGGCGGGCCATGGCTCGATGTGCCATGGCGTGCCATGTCTGGCTGTATGGAAGCATCTTGAAGGAGATGTCGTCTGTGGAGAGGTGGAAGTCCACTCGGTCGTATGTGGTCTTCACCCACACCAGCACGTCCCTGTTCCGCCTACAGCCATGCAGCCATGAAACGCACAGCCAATGCAGAAGTGGGCAGAAGGGAAGGCAAATCGTTTTCTGACAGGGGGGTGCTAGACCAGTGACACGATGTGCAATGCTATGGTGTGCGGGATGATGTGCAGTATGGAAGAATTTACAGCTTGGCTTGCTTTACAGGAGACTCTGAAAGAAGTTCTAAGTCATAAGCGTATAGCTTCCAACAGACAATGAGTTTCCACCCATGATAGAAGCAGACTTGCCATGAGACACACAGAAATAAACCCCTTTGTAATACGACAGACTTATTGGATGCTTGGGCGGGCCATGCACTCATAATGCTTCATATTGGAAAGAGGACACAAAGAAGGCACTGAGAATGGAATGACGCACCACTGATGCACCTGCTGGAAAAGTACACTGCTGTTGACTGGCATGTTGACATCAACAGTGTTGCGTCTCGAGGGTGCATGGCCCATCCCATACACCACCAGCTCACTCAACATGTCCACCAGAGGCCCTGCACACCGAGGCACAATGAATTGTTTTTTTCTTTTTCTTTTTCTTTTTTTTTGTTCTTTTTTCAGAATGAATGTTATGGGTAGCTATGGATCAAACGGTCGATGAATGAGGGTGAGAATAGAATGACTACGAATTGCAACTTCAATGAAAACATTTAGATGGCATTCAGTGCTTCCTACATCTGCAGAAGGAAGTTGAAACATGTGTTCGGCTTCTGCGACTTGCCTTGATTGAAGGTCATTCGCCATACTTGGGAGGTCTGCAGATGCACAAAGGCCACGGAAGGGCTGGCTTTAGCAGCAGCAGCAGCAAAGGGAGGGTTGACAGCGGCTCTAGCGAGGTGCAGGAAGAATTCGGGCGAGATCCAGTGGGCACCGAGGCGAGAGAGGTCGAAGTAGTCGCAGAGGGGCAGGTCACGGGCGAGTGAGAGGCGGCTGCGACTGCCCTGCCATGAGCGTGATTTGGGGAGAGGGGTGAGAGAGGGTGGGAAGAGGGCGGGAAACATAAGCAGAAGACAGGAAAGAGGGTGACAAGGAATGTGCAGAATGGCACTTGGGAAGCAAGGGAGTGGCACATTGGGAAGCAAGGGAGTGGCACATTGGGAAGCAAGGGAGTGGCACATTGGGAAGCAAGGGAGTGGCACATTGGGAAGCAAGGGAGTGGCACATTGGGAAGCAAGGGAGTGGCACATTGGGAAGCAAGGGAGTGGCACATTGGGAAGCAAGGGAGTGGCACTGGCACATTGGGAAGCAAGGGAGTGGCACATTGGGAAGCAAGGGAGTCACCTTGGGAAGCAAGGGAGTGGCACATTGGGAAGCAAGGGAGTGGCACATTGGGAAGCAAGGGAGTCACCTTGGGAAGCACGAGCGTGCGGTTGGTGGCTTGGGCGAAGCGGGCGGCCTCCACGAGATGAGAGCGCGTGTTGGAGAGCTGCTCCAAGGAGTAGGCGAACACCAGGAACCTGCGCCCCCTGGTGGCCTGGGGGGGGATGGAATGCAGGCAGTGGGGAATGGGCTGGTGAGGGAGGGATTAGACTTCTCATTAGTGCTCGTGCGCCCTGGTGGACCTGGGGTGGTGGAACGGAGGGAGTGGGAGGGGAGAAGAGGGGAGGGGGGCAATAAGGGGCGAAAGGGAGTACTGAGAGCTGCTGATTTGAGTGGAAACCGGGGCAGGTGAGCAGTACTTCTTAGCAGGTGGGCAGGTGAGCAGTACTTCTCAGCAGGTGGGCAGGTGAGCAGTACTTCTCAGCTGGGCAGGTGAGCAGTACTTCTCAGCAGGTGGGCAGGTGAGCAGTACTTCTCAGCAGGTGGGCAGGTGAGCAGCACTTCTCAGCAGGTGGGCAGGTGAGCAGTACTTCTCAGCTGGGCAGGTGAGCAGTACTTCTCAGCAGGTGGGCAGGTGAGCAGTACTTCTCAGCAGGTGGGCAAGAGGGATATTATGGAATTCTTAGCAGTACTTCTGCGGCCTGGCAGGTGAATGGGAGGGGAAAGGAGGAACACAGAGCTGCTTCTTAGAGTGGGCAACGTGGGGAAGCTTGCATGTCCTCGTGGCATGAGGGCAGATAAAAAAAAAGGTGGCTAAGACAAGAAAGAGAGGAGGAGGGCAGGAGTGGGTGGGGGAGGAAAGAGGGAGGAGGATGGGGAAGGAAAAGGGGGGCACCATGAGATCGGAGAAGGGCTTGTGAGGCACCGGCCAGCACGCCTCAGGCCACGTGCCGCACTCTTCTGCTGCTGCTGCTCCCTCCCCTCCTGTTCCTGCTTGCCCTGCTACTGCCTCTGCTCCTGCTCCTGCCCCGGCCCCTGATCCTGCTTCTCCTATTGCCCCTGCCCCTGCTCCTGCTTCTCCAGCTGCTTCTTCTGCTGCCGTCCTCCTGCCCTCGCCGCCCCCATTCCTCTTGTCGCCGCACTCGCCACTCAGCCGGGCCTCTATCTCGTGCACCCCGCGACACACAGCATCCACGCCGGCTTCTATCCGCGCCAGCGACGTCACGTTCCGCTTCACCGCCCTCCCCACGTACGCGCTCGTTGCTGCTCGCGCCATCGCCGCCCGCTGCCACCCCTCGGAGCACAGCAGCGCGGCGGAGTCTTCTGGGGCGGCGCCAGCAACCCCGCCACCACCAGCAGCAGCACCAGCAGCAGCACCCCCATGAGCAGCAGCAACACCAACAGCCGCACCAGCGGCAGAAGCAGGAGCAGGAGCGGCAGCAGCAGCACCAACAGCCGCACCAGCGGCAGCAGCAGGAGAAGGAGCGGCAGCAGTGGAACTGCCAGGGCTGACAGAGTCAGCAGAAGCGTTCAGGGTTTCGTCAACGGAACTGGTGCCGCCATTGTCGCTGTTACTAGTGGTACGACTGGGACTATCGGCGGTAGGGCGGCTATTAGCAGGGCTAGTAGCGGGGCTGAGAGCTTCCCATGTGAGCTGAGCGCGCGGGCTCGGCAACTCCGGCGGCACCGCAACCTGGTAGTCCACGTCGGCGGCCTCTCTCCACCCCGCTTCCGCCGCCCATTGCTGCAGCGGCGTATTCCGCAGCTCCGCTCTGCAAGCCGCCACTTCGGCGAGCTCCTGCGGCGGAGTCAGCGCGGGGCCGTCACCGTTGGGCGGGGAGGAGTGGGCGAGGGAGTTTCTCATTGCCGTCATGCACGAGTCGGTCAGTTTCTCGAGAGGGAGACTAGGGCGGACTGCGGCGGTAGTGTGGAAAGCGTAAGGAGCGTCGGGCGATGATGACGGTGCGATGAGTTGATGGTAACAGACTCTGATGAGGCACGAGAGCACGACCAGTAGCGCGAACGAACGCAATATTCGACCTACGGAGCCACTGGTAGTAGCGCCGAGTCTCGCTGGGGATATAGAAGCCATACATGAAACCCGGCTTGATTTCCGCGACACTCGCGCATCACTCATAGCAAGACTAGGTCATTCACCACTGGCACTGTTAGCTTTCCTGCAGTCGTGCACGCGGCGAGAGTTCCCACGGCGGTGGCCAGCGGGAAACGCTCACTCGTCGAGGCTTGTAGTAGCTGTTGCTACTAGCCGGTTTTCTCGAAATTCTCACAGCATCATATGACTTTAGGCGCAGCGGGATGCCCTTCACCACATGAAACCTCGCAGGCGTTACTACACAGCAGATCTGTGATCTCAACATCAGTGAACATAAGGAACTCATTTGTAAGTGACTTCAATATAGCGAACTCGCTAAATGGGCGGTCCCAAGAAATGCAGTCCGTGCTGATGAGGAAAGGAGAGCGGAAGTGAGTGGCGGTGGGCAATGGAGAGTGTGATACTTACCAATCACGGGTGCGGGTTTTGGCCAAGTGAAATGTGAAGAGAACCAGCTATGCAAGTGCACTCCTCAAATGCCACGTGGACCACACGTGACGATGGTCTGAGCTAAGGACTTGACTTGAAGCTACAACTAAAGTGGCAGCTGTTGGGTTATCGCGATGATATTATATGTTTCTTGCTGTAGAAGTTTCGGAAAAAATGTCTATGTTATGAGTTGCAAAACAGAGTTGCGCGCAAAAACGAATAACGAAGCTTGTGATTGAATGAACTGACGATAACAAGGCTCGCGATTATATAGCGGCGGGTCAGCCTAGCTAGGCGGGAACCTCAGGAACACGAGATTGGGTGCAGGTTGGGCAAAAGAAAGCCGAAAGCGACGCGGGTATGCTTGGACAGTAAGCAAACCGGCCGAACGTGCATTCCTGAAAGTCGAGGTTGTACAAGAAAGAGTAAACCCCGGTAAGAAAAAGGGTTATTCCTTCCACTAGCCCCCCCCCCCTCTCTTTAGGAAAGGTGGTCAACATTGTCAGAATGAACAAGTAATTGAACTATGAACATTTGTGATACAAGTAGCAAACCCTAGAATGATACACCCCTTAAAGGCTAACCCGCTATAGCCTACACAACAATAACATATATAATGTTTGACACACCCCCATAGGCTAAGTGGGGTAGAGCAAGGGGTCACAAGACCAGTCATATGCAGAGGCATATATGCATCACAAACATCACAGTGATCTCTGCCTACCAGTGCAACCATGCAGGTATAAGTATATAGATCACAGTACAGTATAGATCTACAGCATGTGAGGCAAAGTGGGCAGAAGCCCTAACAAAGTACAGAAGCGCTGATGATCACCAGGCTGAAGTGCCTTGGTGAATATATCAGCAGTGTTGGCCTGAGTGGCCACGTAACGCAGACGAAGCTGACCACGCTGCTGCAGCTCTCGAGCCAGAAAGTAACGTAGAGCGATGTGCTTCGTTCTGTGCTCCAGTCTGTGCTCCTCACACAAGGTAATGGCAGCCTTGTTGTCGACGTACAGCACTGGAGGAGAACGAGGCCGCTCTCCCAGGTCGGTCAGCAGGTAGGTGAGCCAGCGTAACTCCTGTGCAGCCATGGCTGTGGCGTAGATCTCAGCCTCACAACTGGAGCTGAGAACTGAAGACGAACGCCTAGAACGCCACGAAACTGAACCAGAACCAAGGCTGAAGGTGTAACCCTGTGACGACCGCTGAGTAGCCTGGTCGTCAACCCAAGAAGCGTCTGAGTGCCCAGTGAGAACAACTGAGCTCCCTCCTCTAAGCACGAGCCCCATGCCCGATGTACTGCACAAGTAGCGCAATACCCTCTTTGCAGCATCCCAGTGCACCTTTCGGTGCCTGCCAGGAGCCACGTAGCGGGTCAGAAGGCCAAGAGGGTATGCTAGGTCAGGACAGTGCAAGTCATCAGGTACATGAGGCAACCAACTAGCTCTGGGTAAGGACCACTCGGCTCTACGGACTCATCCAAAAGCAGAGCTGAGAGCGAGTGACCTATAGCCAGAGGAGTGGCCTGTGCTGAGGACCAGGTGAAGCCGAAGCGCTGAAGGACCTGCCGCACCATGTGTGACTGAGTCAGTGTGATGGTGCGGCGTGCTCTGTCCCGGGTGATCTGCAAGCCAAGGTAGCTGCGCAGTTCACCCAGGTCTGTGCACGTGTGTCTCTTCTGCAGCTCCGACTTCACGTGGGTGAGAGCCTCAGTGTCAGCAATGGCAAAGACCAAGTCGTCGACGTACACGAGGATGTAGAACGGCGGCAGCGAAGTGTCGGTGCGTAGAAACAGTGACGGGTCAGCAGTAGAAGGCGCGAACCCAAGTGCCGCAAGAGTAGTCCTCAGTGTGTCGTGCCACTCACGTGGCGCCTGGCGGAGACCGTAGACCGGCCGCCGGAGGCTCCACTGGGTACCAGGAGGAAACGACCCAGTGAAGCCAGGAGGGCGGCGCAGCCAGATCTCCTCGTGCAGGCTGCCCTGCAAGAAAGCTGTGCCGAAGTCAAGAGAGTGAAGCTCGTAGTCACGCTGAGCAGCAACGTGCCGTAGCACCCGAAGAGTGGTCATCTTCGGGGTGGGGGAGAAGGTCTGAAAGAAGTCTACTCCCTCTCGCTGACTGAAGCCTCGAGCAACGTATCGAGCCTTGAAGACAGGCGGAGAACTCGGCGGCCGCTTTACCCTGAAAATCCACATGCCACTGACGATGTTCGCCCCAGGAGGGGGAACCTCGTCGACGTAAGTGCTAGTGGACTTCCAGGATGCAATCTCTGCGTCCATAGCTGTCTGCCACTGAGAGGAGTACTCACCCGCGATCGCCTCAGCGTAAGAGCGCGGGGTCGGGATGTCTGGAGCATCCGGGTCTCCCTCAGGGGCAATCAGCATGGACACGAGATGAGGCGCAGCGGCTGCAAGACACTCAAGGTCCTCCTGTCTGTCCTCAAGGATGTCCGTGCCTAGAGCATACTCACCCCCGACGGACGGAGGACAGACAGACTCAGACTCAGCAACAAGACTCGCTGCGTAGTCTAGGCGACAGTGAGCAGCAAAGTCGACAAGCTCAGCAACTAGGGCAGACGCAGCAGTAGACTCAAAGGAAGGGTCAGTGACAGCAGTGGCCAGGAGACGCGTGACAGTAGGACTGGCAGCACGAAGAGAGTCAGACTCCGGGTCAGCAAGAACAGGAAGAGAGGACGCAGGAGGAGACGGCAGAGGGACACGCTGTGGAGCAGTGGAAGGACGCAGAGTCATATAGTGAGTGCCAGGGACAAGTGGAGGACGCTCACGCGGAGCACAGCGACCAGTGCGAGCAGTACGAACAGGTGACACAGGACGAGACACAGGCGACACAGGACGAGACTCAGGCTCACGACGCTCTGTAAGACCCCCTGTCGGACCAGTGTAGGGAGAAGGACCAGGAAGTGGCGAGGCAGGCGGTAGCTGTGACTGCGACTGGACAGGCGGAGGACACTCTAAGGGGGGAGGAGGACTAGGAGGAGGCGGCTGACCAAGAACCTGCTGAAGGAGCGGAACGAAGTACGGCCGCGGCCGTGAAGTGCCCCCAGAAGCAGCAGAGACAGCACCATCGGGGCAGCTCAGAGGCGTCAGGAAACTGCTCGCGCCAGGCGTCGTCGAGGCGAAAGAAACAGCGCTGTGCTGTGTGAAACCTCCCACAGGTCTGGCCAGTGCGGTCACCTGTGCGGATGACGTACGGGCAGGTACCCCCACCCCCAGACCCCCCACGCTGAGATTACCACTCACGGAGCTGCTGGGGCGAGGGAGTCTCACCGGGACGCTGCTGCTACTGCCTCTGGCCACCGCCGAACCCCCCACGCTGCACCGCTCCACCACGCCCGCCACCCGCTCCACCGCCGCCATCACTGCCACCACCGCCCCCACCACCCCCACCACCGCCGCCGCCACCACCCCCTGTGCCGCCACCGACCCCCCCACCACCCGCGCCACTCCCACCTCCGCCACCACCCCCGCCCCCCCCACCCCCTCCACCGCCGCCGCCCCCGCCTCCACCTCCACCACCCCTGCCCCCCTTGCCCCTGCCGCCCTTGCGCCTCCCACTAGGAGCAGACGCGGCCCCGACCCCCTCAGCTCCGAGGTAGTCGACAGCAGCATCAGATGCAATGGAGGGGAGAAGGGGGGAGGGGGTGCACCCCTCAAAGAAGGGGGTGCGGGGGTCACCACGAGAGGCACCTACAGCTACAATGCTCTTCTCAGCTACTAGGAGTTCCTTCTCGAGGAGGTCGACAGTGAGGTCAGTGGGGGAGAGGGCGAGAAACTGGTCCCTGACAGTGCGAAGGGAGTCAGGGAGGCGGGTGACAAGGTGGTACAGTGTGAGGTACATCGGGGGGGGGGTTCTTGGCGAGGAAATCGGGGGGGAGTGCGGCACGGTAGCGGAGGTCACTGGTACGGAGGTGGGTGATGAGGTTAGCTACAGTGGCAAAGGCTGACAGGTCGGGGAAGAGGTAGGGCAGTGAGAGACGGCCTATAGCAGCAGTGGCAGGGGAGGAGTAGCGCGCGACTACTGCGTCGTAGAGCTCCTTAGCGGTCTTATGCTGGCCGAAGTGCTCGCGCTCATCTAACGGCAGGTGGCTGCAAACGGCTAGGCGAGCGTGAGCATCACGGGTCTGCCACTGGGAGCGAGCAGTACTGTCAGCAGTAGTGGGAGGTGCGGGAGCAGCGCCTGACGTGTGGTCATACAGGGAGACATCGTCCTTGGCAGTGATCTGGAGGAACAGGTGGAGGTCATCTAACCAAACCTCAAACTTAATCGGGCGGCCCTCAGCGTCAAAGGTGAGAATAGAGGGAGTGGCCA